CAACGGAAACACTACAGGTTTTGCCGCGGCGACAACAACGGAAACACTACAGGTTCCGCCGCGACAACAACAACGGAAACACTACAGGTTTTGCCACGGCGACAACAACAATGGAAACACACTACAGGTTCTGCCGCGACAACAACTACGGAAACACTACAGGTTCCGCCGCGACAACAGCAATGGAAGCACACTACAGGTTCCGCCGCGACAACAACAACAAAACACACTACAGGTTCCGCCGCGACAACAACAACAGAAACACTACAGGTTCCGCCGCGACAACAACAACGGAAACACTACAGGTTCCGCCGTGACAACAACAAAACACACTACAGGTTCCACCGCGACAACAACAACGGAAACACATTACAGGTTCCGCCGCGACAACAACAACGGAAACACTACAGGTTCCGCCGTGACAACAACGGAAACACACTACAGGTTCCGCCGCGACAACAACAACGGAAACACAGGGAGTTAGCACTGATACAGCGCTGCTTCCTCATCTTCAGGCCTTTTTGCAGTGGTCCCATTAATGTCCTTTAGAGCAACAGAAAATTCCAGGCGGTCTGTTTAACGTTCTAGTCGGAACTCCTTCCTCCGTCCGTCTCCCTCTCTCGCGACGTTGGCGGTTTTGAAGAGCGTGGCCCAGCTGTTGGCAAGCGTGTCCCTCAGCCCGGCGGGACGGTGCGTTTCCCTAAAGCGTGTGTCTGAAGGTGAACTGGTTCCACCTCATGCTCGTCCCTCGGAGTGGGAGTCTCCCTGGGGGTTGAGGCCCTGTGTGCGGAGCTTGGCTTCCGCTCCAGCCGTTTTTAGGATCTTCCTCTATCCCCACATGGGCCTCGGGGTCCTTCCGATCCAAAGACTCCCGTCCTTCAGCTCGGAATGAACATCCTGAACGAGTTTTTGGTTGATTTTCTCTCTGTGTTTTCTTTCTTTCTGGAAGTCCTGGAAGAATAATCGTTGGCCCGCAGAAACGTTCAAATTTCATTATCCTTCTTGTTTTCTGTCTCGGTCTTTGTCACCTGGAGTTTTTCTCAAATTTATATTCCAGCCCTTCTGTCAAGTGTTTTGTTTTAGTCAACGTACTTTAACACTGTAGGAGCTCTTTTTCACTCCTTCTGGGTTTTTTTGTTTAAGTGACGTTCTGTTGTTGCTCACGGACACAGGAAGTTCTTTCCCGGGAGGATTTTAACGACAGTCATTTTCACTAGGTTTCTCTCTCGTGTGGTGGTCTTGGCCCTGGGGCTGGCGTTGGCCTTCGTCTTTCCGATGGCAGGCTTTCCCCAAGCGCTGGGGCACCAGGTATGGCACCCCCACCTGGAGGCCCTCTCCCATCCCGGGGACCATGCTCCCAGGGGCAGGGCCCGGGAGTCTCAGTATTACCCGCCCGGTGGCCTGAGAGGGCTGGAGTTGAAGGCCACGTCCGCTCCGCCGTCCTCCCTCACTGGAAGGGCCTGCCTGGTGTGTGTGAGTGTGATTTCTGTGTCCGGCCTGCTTTTTCTCATCTCTTTATTATCATAATCACAAGGTAAACTTTTTTTGTGCCCATAAACGTGTTTTTGTACAAACCGCCTTTCAGTAGTGGGTTGATAGTCCGTGTGTGGATAGCTATGCTGACCCCATCCTTGTTGTGATCCCTTTCCTTCCCCCCTTCTTGGTTATCGGACTGTGGGTGTTCAGTTGGTGATCTTGGGAGACACGGCTTGCTGGGGAGACCCCTCAGGGTGGCTTCTGCTGGAAGGAAGAAAGCCCGGGACGGGCTCTTCCTTGGTGTGATCTGGGCTGCAATTGTCCACATGTGCCTGGTGGGCCGACAGCGCCCCCTGGCGGTCCCCACGTCCCGGTGGGCCTGCAGGGTGAGCGCTTCTGTCTGTCCTCCACGGGGAAGGACTCTGCGCAGGAGGGAGAAAGTTGTAACTTAAAAAAAAAAACGGAGCAATACCCAGCCTGAAGGCGGAGGCCAGACGTGGCGAGACACCGATCCACGGAGCCAGTCCTGTGACTGGGAGGCTCCCTGCCTCAATTTCCCCATCTGCAGAGCAGGGCTCCGTGTGATGAAGGGGAGGAGGGAATGCGGGGCTCCGTGTGATGAAGGGGAGGAGAGAATGCGGGGGTCCGTGTGATAAAGGGGAGGAGGGAATGCGGGGCTTTGTGTGATGAGGGGGAGGGAATGCAGGGTTCTGTGTGATGAAGCGGGGGAGGGAATGCTGTGTATAAGAGGGAGTCTCACCCACACCTGTCGGCAGCCTGCTGAGGGTCGGGCAGAGGGCTTGGAAGGAGCGGGACCCTGAGGTCTGGGGATGCCCTCCCAGGGTGGGTGGAGGGGCGGGCAGCCCTTGGGACTGGGGTGGAATGCTGAATAGCCAGGCTCGGCAAGCGGGAGGCCACCTGCTCTGTGGGAGCGTGTCTCTCCCCCAGCAGTGCTCTTTCTGTCCCTCCCCCAGGCCAACTGCAGCCCCCATGGGGTGGGGGGAGCAAGCTCTTTGCCCTGGGGAGGCACCCCGTCTGCCCCTGAGGGGGCTGCCCCCCATTCCCCACATTGTGTGGTCTGATTGTGAGTCCGTCGCATCTGCAGATGGGAGCTCTGGGACCTCATATGGGCACCCCCAGACCCCCCCTCAGGGTCCCAGCAGACTCCTGGAGGAGCCTCGGTGGGCAGATGCATGGTCAGGAATGGTCAGGGAGGCCCTGCGGTCAAGGGCAGCCCGAGGGGTGGAGGTGGCAGGGAGCCTGCCCTAGGGTTTGGGGGTGGGCCCTGCCGCTAGGGTTTGGGGGTGGCCCGTGCTCCTAGGGTTTGGGGGTGGGCCGTGCTCAAGGGTGGAGTCCCCAGTACAGACCTTGGTGAGTACCTCGGCTGAGGTTGTGCGTGACAACGGTGTCCTTCCACACCCATGTCTCTCCCGTGTTCCCCCATGCTCCCGTGTCCTCATATCCCCACACTCCTGTGTCCTCCCTGCCCCCCATGTCCCCTGCACCCGTTCTCCTCATCCCCTTTATCCCCATGCCCCACGTCCCTCCCACGCTTCCCCACTTTCCTCTGTGTCCCGTGTCCCCCTCGCTTGTTCCCTCGTCCCATGTTCCTCCGTGTTCCCTGTGTCCCCTGCACTCCCCGACGTCCCCCGTGTCCCCTGCACTCCCCGACGTCCCCCGTGTCCCCTGCACTCCCCGACGTCCCCCGTGTCCCCTGCACTCCCCGACGTCCCCCGTGTCCACCACGTGTGCCTGTAGATGCTGGACGAGAACCACCAGCTGATCCAGTGCATCCTGGACTACCAGAGCAAGGGCAAGACGGCCGAGTGCACCCAGTGAGTGCCGCCTGCTGCCGCGGGCACCACGGAGTCTACAGGGACAGGAAGTGGGGGCGGTGGGCGCGGGGGGCCCAGGCTGGCTGCTCCTGCACGCACCACGGGCCGGCCCTTTGGCCTCCAGGGACTGATGCAGAGTCAGATCTGACAGAGGCGTTCACCTGAGAATGGGGCATTTTCAGAGGTCCCTAGGGATGGAGCTGGCTGCCAGGGTCATCGGGAGGAGGAGGGCTCTGTCCCCCGGGCGCCCCCCACCCCGGTCTTCAGGCGATCTCTGGGGGCACCAAGGCTGTCTTTGCTCTGGGATCAGCCTGTGACTGTGGCACGTTGGTGCCCTGCCCCCCTCGCAGATATCAGCAGATCCTGCACCGGAACCTGGTGTACCTGGCCACGATCGCCGACTCCAACCAGAACATGCAGTCCCTGCTCCCAGCCGTGAGTACCCCCACGCAATGCCCAAAGGTGGGGGGGGCAGTAGAGAGGGGAGAAGAGGCGGGCCCCCCCGCCAGGCAGGAGTCAGCTGGTGCCCAGAGTCCACCAGAAGGGCAGGTCTGCACAAGCCAACGGCCGGAGGAGCTGAGCTACCAGAGCCTTCAAAGTCAGGGTGCAGGGTTTTCAGCCTCCCCGTCCAGCAGGAAGTCGCTAGGGGGTGTTGGTGGTGCATCGGCCGGGGACTGTGGGCGGAGACAGTGGAACGGCCGGGGGCAGGTGGCCCCCTTGCTTTCGGATGATTCGAGGGGAACTCATGAAGGGGCCGTTGTCAGAGGCGGGGCAGGCGTTGGCGCTGGAGCTGGAGCTGGCACCACGGGGTTGTTTCTGCCCCCGGATTCCACGTGGTCGGGAGGGAGGCACCGACCACAACCAGACGTCGGATCCCTCGGCCGCTGCCGGTGGGAGTGTAAAGTGCTGCAGCCGCTGTGAACGGTTCGGCAGTTCCTCAAAAAGTTAAACAGACTATCATACCAAAAAACCCAAACCTGTTGAGAAGTTGATTCCAAATAGTGGCGATCCTCTAGGACAGAGTAGAACTGTCCCGTGGGGTTTCCAGGGAGCAGCTGGTGGATCCAACCTTGCTGACCTTTTGGTTAGCAAGCCATAGCTCTTAACCACCGCATCACCAGGGCTCCAACACGGAGAACTACTGTATGATCCAGCAGTTCCACTCCTGGGCACGTACCCAGGAGACGTGAAAGCAGGCGCTCAGATACCTGTGCACCAGTGTTCACACAGGGCCATATAGGAGCACAGAACGTGCAGCCGGGTGAGCCACTGCAGGGCCTGGGAATGTTAGCAGTGAGGCTCAGAACAGCCTGTGCAAAGGCCCTGGGGGCACGAGGTTGGGGGTGGCACAGAGGGACTGAAGCTCCAAACAGCCTGTGCAAAGGCCCTGGGGTCCTGGAGCGGGCTTGATGGAACTGAGAGATGCAGGGACGGCCGGGCATCTGAGCCGAGGGGTGGGGCGGCTGTGGGGAAGGCGAGGGTACAGTGTCGTGTCATCCCAGGAGAAGGGCCCAGCTTTTAGCGCCCCAGCATGTTGATGAACTGGATGCTTGTGTAGGTTTTCCCCATCTTGACCTCGATGCATCCTGGCGTCCTGGCCCTTTGGGGGCTCCGCTGTGCTTGGAGTGACAGCGTTGGCTGTAGAAGTTTGTCAGGTGGCTGTGAGACGTAGGGGCAGGTCTTCTGGAAGCCGTCTTCCGTCAGACTAACCACCCGCCTGTCGCCCGCAGCCGCCCACCCAGAACATGAACCTGGGCCCCGGAGCGCTGTCCCAGAGCGGCTCCAGCCAGGGCCTGCACTCCCAGAGCGGCCTCGGCGACACCATCAGCACGGGCCTGCCCCCCTCCTCCCTCATGCAGGGCCAGATCGGCAACGGTGAGCGCTCAGCGGGGTGGGGCTCCTGGTCACCTGGCAGCGGGACACTGATGCAGGCCATCCCACACCCCGCCCAGGCTGAGACAGCCCCTCCTCTCCTCCCTGAGGTCCGGCGCAGGCGGGGTTCATGTGCAGAGGGAATGCCTTCCTGTGTCGTGACGATCAAGTTACGTCCACCTCAGACGCAAAACGTGGGTCTGGGGATTTTCTGATGTTAGCGCTGTCGAGTCGGTACTGGCTTACGGCGACCCCACGTGTGCAGAGTAGAACTGTGCTCTGTACGGTTTTCAAGGCTGTGACTTGGCGGAAGCAGGTCGCCAGGCCTGTCCTCCAAGGTGCCTCTGGGTGGGTTCTAACCACCAGCCTTCCGGGTAGTCCAGTGCTTCACCGTTCACGCCCCCAGTCTGCTCTTGGTCCTCTAGTAAGAATGAGCTCCTCCCATCCCGTCTCTGGCTTGAGAACCACGACAGTGACTGTCACGCTGTCATCTTATACTTGACGTTCCTGTGGTTCGTTTCCTTTGTCAGTCACACAGACGTTTGCTAAGTGACTGGCGTTATTAACCAATGTGTCAGTGTCCCTTTAAGAATTCCTTGGAGAATGCAGTGCCAGGCGAGCTGCAGAGGTGGTTCGCGCTGCCTGGCACCTCACCCGTCCCTCCCGGCAGGTCCGAACCACGTGTCCCTGCAGCCGACAGCACAGAGCACACTGCCCACCACCTCCCTGAGCTTGTCGGCCAGCAGCCACAGCTCGGGGCCCGGCTACAGCCACGCAGGGCCCGGCTCACAGAGTGTGCCACTGCAGGGCCAGGGTGCCATCGGCAGCTACGTGTCCCGGACCAACATCAACATGCAGTCCAACCCAGGTACCTCCGCCACTGCCCGCCCTCTGCCCCAGGGGCTCCGAGACACGGTCAGGTCCCCCGCTTGGTCCCCTGGGGGGGGGCCCTCATGTTGGGCGCTGTCCTGCTGCTGCCCTCTTCTGGAAGCATCAGGGGCGCACGGGTGTCGGGGGGGTGCATGGGTGACGGGGCGCGGGAGACGGGCACACGGGTGACGGCGTGTGGGGGGGGCGCACAGGTGACGGGGGGGCACGCGGGAGACGCGGGTGCATGGGGCCAGCTTGCAGCCTTGGAGGAGGGCAGTGTTTGCCCTGGCCTGGGAGGGGAGGATTGGGCTCACGGAGGCACAGATGTTCCCATGCTGGGAACCATGTGTCCGGGGGCACAAAAGTAAAAGGTGTTGATGGTTGGCAAGCACCAGGCCCAGGGCTGGGCCTACTCTGGGGCAGCGGAAACCACCAGCTGGGCTGTCAGGACAGTGGCCACCAGCCGCTTGGGGCTGTTGAGCATGAGTCCAAACTGAGGTACCCTGTGAGTGCAGAGGCGCCTTGGATCTGGGAGGTTAGCACGGAAGAAAGAACAGAAGTACCTGTTGAAAATGATAACGCATGTTGAAAATGATAATATCTTGGACGCTTTGGGTCAAAGAAAATACATTATTAAAGTTGATATCGCCTGTTTTGTTCTCCTCTTTCAAGTGTGAGATCACACGTGTGGCTCACTTCTCTGGTTCCTGTCCTGTTTCTGTTGCCAGCACTTTCTAGAAGGTTCTAAGCAGGGGCGATGTGTCGGACAGGCCTGTAGGTGTAGAAGAGTCCACCACGAGTGTTAAAAGGCCGGCAGGGCATGGGGAGGCCAGAAGTAAGGGTTACAGTCACAGAAATCAGGATTGAGAGTTATAAGTCACAGGAGTGTCAAGAATGAAGGTCACGGGGTCAGGAGTGAAGATCACGGGTCACAGGAGTGAGGGTTGTAGGTCACGGGGGCAGGAGTAAGGGTCATAGGTCACAGGGTCAGGAGTAAAGATCATGGTCATGGGTCAGGAGTGAGGGTCACAGGTCACAGGGCCAGGAGCGAGGGTCGTAGGTCATGGGGGGAAGGAGTGAGGGTCACAGGTCACAGGGCGTCAGGAGTGAGGGCCACAGGTCACAGCTGCAGGTCACAGGGTATCAGGAGTGAGGGTCACAGGTCACAGTCGCAGGTCACGGGGGGTCAGGAGTGAGGGTCGTGGGTCACATGCCAGGAGGGTCACGGGTCATGGTTGCAGGTCATGGGGATGTCAGGAGTGAGGGTCGTAGGTCACATGCCAGGAGTGAAGGTCACTGGTCACAGTCGCAGGTCACTGGGGTGTTAGGAGTGAGGGTCGCAGGTCACAGGGTATCAGGAGTGAGGGTCGTGGGTCAGTCGCAGGTCACAGGGTGGTCAGGAGTGAGGGTCACAGGTCATGGGGGGGTGAGGAGTGAGGGTCACGGGGCATGGTTGCAGGTCACGGGCGTGTCAGGAGTGAAGGTCGTGGGTCACGCGCCAGGAGTGAGTGTCATGGGTCACTGTCGCAGGTCACGGGGGTGTCAGGAGGGTCGCAGGTCACGGGGTATTAGGAGTGAGGGTCACGGGTCACGGTCGCAGGTCACGGGGGTGTCAGGAGTGAGGGTCGTGCTCCTAGGACCAGCAGTGGGGAAGGCAGGCAGACTTGTGTGTCTGTGCAGACGGGCCTGGTGTGGAGCCGCGGTCGGGCAGCCTTGCTGAGGCAGTTGGGGGGCCCCCGCCCAGCGGTGCTTTGTGTGCCGAACGTCCTGTGGGCTGGGTTTGAGGGCGCAGGACGGTGGTGTCCATGGGTGGGAATGTGACTGGAGCTGGGGGAGGTTGTTGGGAGGACCGTGGTTCACAGGGGAGCGGGCAGGGAGGGAGAGCGCGTGCCGCCGGGACGCCACCTCCAGTGGTCACTCGGGTCCTCATGTCCGCAGTGTCAATGATGCACCAGCAGGCGGCCACATCCCACTACAGCTCGGCGCAGGGCGGGAGCCAGCACTACCAGGGCCAGACGTCCATGGCCATGATGGGCCAAAGTGGCCAGGGCAGCGGCCTGATGGGGCAGCGGCCCATGGCGCCCTACCGGGCCTCTCAGCAAGGTAACGCCCGCCGTGCACCCTCGTGCACACTCAGCTCCTGCTCTGAGTTGGGGTGGTGCTCCCGCCCGAGGGCGTGGGGTGTGGTGCCGCGTGGTGCTTCTGCCTGAGGATGAGGGGCGCCGTGCTGCGTGGTGGTGCTCCCGCCCAAGGGTGGGGGACGTGGTGTCTTGCAGGCAAGTCCCTATGTGGCTCTGCACGGGGGAGGACAGAATCTGTTGCCTGGGAGTGGGGATGGGGCACGGGGTCAGTGCTGGGTGCTGTTGTTTTCACAAGCACAAAGGCCAGAGCATTGGGGACTGGAGTGGGGGGAGGGCGGGGGCTGGATGGCAAGGCTGTCCTCCCGCCCCTCTGGGTGACGCCACGGCGTGTTCTCTGAGCTGGCCCGCTCCGCAGGCCTGCACCTGAGGTTGGTTTAGGACGTCCACGTCTGTAAGGAGAGTCCGGGGCAGGGGCTGCCGAGTGTAACGCGCGGTGTCCGGCCTGCAGGCTCGTCACAGCAGTATATGGGCCAGGAGGAGTACTACAGCGAGCAGTACAGTCACGGCCAGGGCGCCGCCGAGCCCATGAGCCAGCAGTACTACCCCGACGGTGAGTGCGGGCGTGGGGGCTCTTGGCAGGACCCACGTGCCTCATTAGTGCTTGCGGGGTTACCTGAGTTGGCCAGGGGGCCGTGCTGGTTGGGGAAGCCGGCTGTCCAGACCCTTCCTCGGCCGCTCCAGTTCAGACTCACAGCCTCTGATGCTCCGTTTGCAGACTCTCCTAAAGCCCCTTGTAAAAATGGTGGCGGTGGCGTCAGACCTCCTCGTTTAACTTCATGAGAAAGAAGAGAGAATCAGCGTTAGCACCAGCCCAAAGCTGATTCTTGTGAGGCTGAGGTCAGACGTTTTTCCGCCCTCTGACCTTACCGATTCTGACACCAGCTGTCCTTCCCACGGTGCTCTCCTCCTCTGCTCGGTTTGATAATTTATTGCAGTGGCTACACAGAACTCACCATGTTCCCATGTTACGGGGTTTACTAGGGAAGGTAACAGGTTACAGCTCCGGATCGGGAAGCACTCAGAACACGGTTTGGTCAGGACAGCTTTGTAGCCATGCTGGAAGGCAGGCCTCTCTCTCGGCGCCTCAGCCTGGCTGCTGCCCTGCTCGGGCAAGTGTTAACAAAGCTCTTTAGCTCCACCGACAAGTGCCCAGAGGCACCCCACTCTGCCAGCAAGCCTCCTGCCCGAAGGCGGTCGGCTCTGTTGCTCCATGGGTCAGCACACCCCCTGTACTGCTTCGCTCCATGAACTAGGAAGTCCACCTCACGGTCTGCTGCTGGTCTCTGGTTCTGCTGCTGCCATTTCTCTGCCTTTGCTTCTCACCCTTGTGTGCTTTCTCCAGTGTTAACAGCTCCCTGTGTCTCCTGGGTCTAGGAGCTTCTCAGCGCAGGGACCCCAGGCCTGAAGGACGTGCTGTAGTCCTTGTTCTTCTTGGTGGTAGTGAGGTCCCCCTTCCTGCCTCTGGGATTGGCTCCCTTTAAGCCTAGTGGGATGGCAAAACTGACCAATGCCTTCATTTGCGTTTTCTATACCTTATTTGCATGTCCCCCCAAGAGTTCCATGTACCTTATTGCATTGTTAGCAAGCTCTCCAATCCCCTTGGTGGGCCACAAGCACTTTATTTGCATAGCCCCACCCAGTCATTTTGTGGGAGTCACAAGACCATGAATGGCTAGAAGGGCCATACTGAGTACTTCACTGCACTGCACCCCCCTTGTCTAAGTGCGTTTGAGGATTGGGATGAGGGCTGGGCTGACAGCGGGCAGTGCCTGCTTCCAGAGGGAAGCGCCTGTTTGTAGGAAGTGGGCGTGCGTTCCAGCGTGCGGGGCTTCAGGGAGGAGATGACCCTCCGCGTCAGTTTGTGTCTGTTTCTTATAACTGTGTCCCTACTGCCCAGATGTAATTCCCACAAATTATCTCCCTGTTAATTGTTACCTTTCGTTGGCTTTAAGTCATCCTAGTTTTTGTGGCTTTTAAAGTGTCCTAAAGTGTGGCTGGAGCCCTGGTGGCGCAGTCGTTAAGAGCTCGGCAGCTAACAAAAGGTCAGCAGTTTGAATCCATCAGCTGCTCCTTGGAAACCCTGCAGGGCAGTTCTACTGTCCTGTAGGGTCACTATGAGTTGGAATTGACTCAACAACAATGGGGTGTTTTTTGGAAGCATGGCTGGGACTTTGGGAGGTGGAGATGGGGCTCCCCAGAGGAGGTCCCCTGGGCAGGGAGTGGTGGGTGCATGGCGGGTCGGAAACAGGCGAGCATGCCTCTGCAGCATGGTGGTTAAGCTAGACAGGGCCCCACAGTGGGTCACGGCACCCCGGAGTGGACGAGGCAGGAGTCGCAGCCATGGTTCTTGGGTGGTTGTCCCCATCGGGCACTTCACACACTTCACTCTCTATACAAACCCATCTCGTCATCCTCACACTGGCCTACGCTGTAGCGCTGACACCTGCCTGTCAGGGTAGGGAAACAGGCATGGAGTGGTGACCTCTCCTTAAGAGCACAGGCAGGCTAGGGGAAGTAGGGTTCGCCCCAGCGTGGTCTCACCCGTGGCCGCCGCCTCGGATTCCCTCCCGACCTCTTGACCCCCCAGGACCAGTGGCGGGGCCTCTGCTGACCGCACCATGTTCCTGCAGGCCACGGCGACTATGCCTACCCGCAGTCATCCTACACGGAGCAGAGCTACGACCGGTCATTCGAGGAGCCTGCCCAGCACTACTACGAGGGCGGTAAGGCGCCGGGTCCCCAGGCCAGGGCCAGTCTGAGGAAGGGGCAGGTTAAATCCCACGGAGGGCAGCTGGCATGGGGTGTGGGAAGCTGCTCCACCTCTGGAAGCTTGATATGTGGCTTCTGTGCTGGGAGCCTCATTACCTTACGTGCGTTCAAGTACGGGGGATGTTAACTGGTCATGTCGGGTGGGGGGGCTCTGCCAGTGGTCCAGCTGACCTGGCCCTCCCCTCCATCACTTGCTTCTCCGAGCTGCCAGGCTGCCTGGCTCTGAGTCCTGGCTCCCGCACTTACTGGCTGTGTGCCTCAGTTTCTTCATCTGTAAAGTGGGGTAATGCAAGTGCTTAATCCATGGCAGCACTGAGGGAATTCAATGAGACACTTCTACAGAGTTTGTTGAGCACACGCTGGCCCGTAGCAAGGTTCTCGACACGTAGCTGTGTTTCTCTTACCATTAAGAAGATATTTCTCAGGAGTTGATCCGCTACGTTGTCCTCGAGGTAAATTTGTAAGTAAACACAAAGCCACTGTTGGTCACTTGTGCATAAAAACGTGCTGAAGCGCGGTCTCTGCCGGTTCTCAGTCCCGGTTGGTAGACAGCCCCCCATTTTGGTCTCTCGCCACGTTGCAACTCTCACTTCCGTTGTCAGCAGTGAGCCCCTGACACACACCTTTTCCCGGCTCCTGTCCTTTCTGATCGGATCCACAGCTGGCCGCTGCTCTAACAGCTTTTCTCACGTCTGTGCCTTGGGCATGGTTAACGACTGTGGTATTGTGCTGGGGCCGCCATAACAAAGTTGCACAAATCTGGATAATTAAAACAACAGGAATCTGTTGTCTTGCTGTTCGGGAGCTAGAAGTCTGAGATCACAATGGGGTTGCTTCCTTCTGGAGGATCTGAGGGAGAACCCTTCCTTGCCGCTCTCCCAGCGTCCGGTGGTTCCGGGCAATCCTTGCTGTCCTTGGCTTGTGGGCACATCGCTCCAGTCTCTGTGTCCGTCATCACGTGGCATTCTCCCTGTGGGACTCAGTGTCCGGATTTCCCTCTTTAAGGACAGCCGTCATTGGATCAGGCCCCCCTAGTCCAGCAGGACCTTAGGGTAACTAACGTCATCCACAGAGATCCTGTTTCCAAATACGCTCACACATTCACAGGTCCCAGGGGTTAGGATGTGGACATGCATTTGGGGGACACAATTCAGTCCGTAACAATGGTATGTAAATTTATGTCAGCTGCAGTGTTAACCCTTTCATTTATTTTGGCTTTCCATTCACTTTTGTAAAATAATGTAAGAAAACGTAGTAGAACATTTGAGTCATCGTGGGAAGAAGTGCGTACCGAAGCAGCAGACGTGGCCCGGGGCTTCCCAGGTCACCGGCACCGTGAGTACGCAAGTGGGCCGCCTCTCAGGTCTGGCACTGAGCTCGGCGTCTCCTTCCCTCCAGGAAACTCACAGTACAGCCAGCAGCAGGCCAGCTACCAGCAGGGGACGGCCCAGCCGCAGACGTACTCCCAACAGCAGTACCCCAACCAGCAGAGCTACCCTGGGCAGCAGCCGGGCTACGGTAGGGACCCCACATGGCCACCCAGGGCACCACACGTGCTCTCACTGTCACGCCGTCGTTCAGGGGGACGCTTTTTGATCAGCTTTTTGTTTTGGAATGATTTCAGATTTGCAGGGTAGGACAGTGTTCCCGGGTCCCTGGCCCCTAGCTCCCCCGTCGTTAACATCTTCCGTGGCCATGGTTCAGCTGTCCCAGTGACGAAACCAGCATGGGCAGGACACAGCTCACTGAATTCTCGGCTTTGTTCAAGTTGTCCATTAATTCCCGCTTCTGTCCCAGGACCCCACCCGGACCCATGTCCCATTTGGTTGTCCAGTCTCCTCTGGCATCTCTGGGCATGGCAGTTTATTAGACTGTCCTTGGTTTTGACCACGCTGATAGTTTTGAGGAGAGCTGGTCAGGTGTTTTGTAGTGGGGCCCTTGCTTTGGGTTTGTCCGGGGTTTTTCTTGTGGTTACACTGGAGTTGTGGTTCTTTGGGGGAGGACCAGAGGGTGAAACGCCCCTTCGTCACACCACCATACTTGGACTGCCTGACGTCCACACATCACGAGGGAGGTTCACCTTGACCCCTGGCTAAGGTGGGGTCTGCCAGGTGTCTCCTCTGTGAAGTCACTCTGTCCCCTTTCCCTGCTCTTTGTAGGCAGTCACTAAGTCCGGCCCACATGCGGGGTGGGGGTGGGCATTAATCCCACATCCTGGAGGGGGAGCTTCTGCGTGTACTGTTGGGGTTCTGCCCCGGAGCGTTACCTCTCCTCCCCCGTTTGCTTAGCTGTTCACTTCTTGAGTCAGTGTGAACTGGTGGGCATTCACATTCTGGGCTGGTACCCAGGGCTGCGCCTTTGTTGGGTAACCCACGTTGCTTCTGCGCTGGCCCTAAGGCGGCCCTGTGCCCTTTGGCCCGCCCCGCCCCTCGCTCCGGCCGGCCCCGCCTCACCACCTCTGGGACTCCTGCCGGCCCCGCCCGCCCCGTTTCTGGGACTCCTGTCCGCCCCGCCCCCCGCACTCCGGCCCGCCTCTCGCACGCCGGCCCGCCCCGCCCCCCGCACTCAGGTCCTCCACGCCCTTCGAGCTCCGCGTGCCTGATTTTCCGGCATCAGCAGGCGCTACAGGCTCGTCTTGCTCCCCAATCCCCAGCCCTGGAACCTGCCGTCTCTTCCAGGAGCTCTGGTTCGTTTGCTTGGAGGATGGTGTTAGAGGCAAGACCTGGGCGCAAGTGGACGTTTTTTGAGCGCTAGTTTTACATACATGTCCCCAAAGTAGCCTCGTGTTTGCTCGTGTTGCCGTAGCTCCGTTGTTAGCCCGGATTGGCCCACAAGGATTTGCTAACGCGGAACAGGCCAGTGGTCTTCCGCACACCCGCTAAGGGCGCCCATGTCCGCAAGGGCTGCCTTGGGGCACCAGAAAGTGGGCGGGGGACCTTGGGAGTTTCAGTACAGGGAGATCATGTTCACCAGAAGAAGGAAATCGGCAGAAATGAAGACGTTTAGTTTTGCTAAGGGCTAGTCATCTCAGCAAAGAGAAAGGTGTTGGCAGGACCAGATGCCCTGTCTGCCCGGAGCTACCTGGGCCTCGTCTCCCCCACCCCCCCCGGGCAGCACCTGGCCCTCGCCGACGCCGAGAGCCCCTCCCCAGCGAGGCTCTCCCCCATATTTTTGCCTCTCCCTGAGGTGCACCTCCACCTGCTCGGTGCTCAGGACTTTCCATGGGACTGCCACTGTGGGTGGCTTTCTAGTGTGGTGGTCACGCAGGTGATTACGTTCATAATGTACAGCCAGAGCTCTTGTGCCAGATGGGTCAGCGGGAAAGGTGCATCGGCTCGTCAAGGAGTGAGTGGCAGTGGGTGTTCACAAGCCTGGAACCCTTCGTTTAACCAGGGATGCAGCGGACATTCCATCATCCAGACCCTGATAGGTGTCTGCGCCCGTTCTTTGCGTAGGGCTCTGCTGGCAGGGCCCTGAGCCGTGTCCCAGGGAGCCCCCCAGCAGTGCCTCAGCCCTCAGGCCCAGTTCCCACCTTGTCAAGGGCAGGGTTCAGCCACTTGGGGAGACTCCTGTGGGCTGGGGTTCAGCCGTGGCTGCACCTGAGAAGAACCTGGGAAGCTTCAGGTGACAGAGTCTCAGTTCTCCAGGCGAGTGTTTCAGTTTTGGTTAAGCTCATGGGATCCTGATACGTGCTGAGGAAGGAGATACACAGTGAGACCTTTTTTTCAGCCTTTGACTAGATGTTTTGGCTGTGACTGATTAAACAGTCTTTATGGATTCTTTCCACAGTCTCAGTGTTCACAGAAGCGCTCACCAGTCCTATGATTTTTAATTAAGTACCGTGTTTACAGCAGCGACTGTCACTGACAGAACCTGATTGTAGAACAGACAGGACGCTGCTTGGTCAATGCTCCGCTCACCTGCTTTCAGGAAGCACAGGTGTGCAAAGAGGTCTCGGAGGTGCCTGCCTGGGGTGAGGGCTTCGTTGCAGCCGCACAGGGGACCTGGAGGGCGCCCAGCAGATAGCGAGGTTAAGTGGGGTTGGTTGAGTGCTTTCACTGTTTGGATTTCGTGTGGCACACAGGCAGGTACCAGGTGTCAGAGACTTGGTGGGTCACACGGTCCTGGTGTGTCTCCTCAGGGCCAGCCCAGGGCGCCCCCGCGCAGTACCCCAGCTACCAGCAAGGACAAGGCCAGCAGTACGGAAGCTACCGGGCGTCTCAGACGGCACCGTCTGCGCAGCAGCAGAGGCCATACGGCTACGAGCAGGCGAGCTTCCCCGGTGTTTCCCGGTGTGGGCGTCTGTCGCGTTTGTCGAGACACAGTGACAGTTTCTCTCGTGGTCGTGAGGAGTGATGAGACAGGGCTCAGGGCTTCCAGGGTCCCTTCCGGAATGTTAATTCTGCGCCAACAAGGGCCGCATGCTTACCTCTGCAGGCAGTCAGCTCACCGTCTTGAGCATCCCGTTGCTTCTGCAGATGGGATTCCCTTGTATGTCGGTTCATCTGTGCAGCAAGCATCTGCTGAGGGGCCTCCCTGAGCCAGGCCTCTGCCCTGAGCCCAGGATGCGGTGGGGGCAGACACGGCTGCCGCGCTCCGAGAGCTCACGGCTTGCTCTGGAGGGCTGCTCACTCAGCAGGCCGGATGCTGTCCTGGGGGGCCAGGGGGCCTTCCTCCCTCCCCTACCTCCTGTTGTAGGTGCCCGGGAAACCTCACTGAATCAGCTGGGGCTCCTCTCCGGCAGCCTCACTGGGCACACGCCCTAGTCCTCGCAATCTTCAGATTCCATGGTCATCCTCCTCCTATGTCAGCATGCTGGGCTGGCGGTGCCCATCGTGTGGGGCCGGGGGCCCGTTGCCTGCCAGTTGGGGCAGCGAAATAATGATGAGCCTCCCTTTAACACAAGTTGGTGTGAGGACGTCACGTCATGGAGAGCGCCAGCGTACAATTGGCTGATGAGCCTCTCTGCTCTCAGTCTCTGCCCGCAGGCTTGGACTTTCAGGGAACCTGTCCCTGCCCTGCACAGGTTCTGCTTGTCGGGCGTTTGTGTGCCTCTGCGTGTCCTCCCGCCTCATCCTGGTTGTTGGCCTTGGATGTTTGGAGGGGGCTTTTACGCACTCACTCTAGAGGTGTAACACCTGTTCTCATCTCTCTCAGGGCCAGTACGGGAACTACCAGCAGTAAGGGACCGCATTCTTGTCGGTGCTCTTGTGACAGTGTGTCCATCCAGGGAGCGGATGGGCCGGCGGCAGTTCTGACGAGCTGTGATCCGTGGGTTCCCCTCTGCCCGACGCAGTGTCTGCATGCGAAGCTCGTTTCACGCTGGGTATGACGCTGGGCGTGCTCGCCGGCACAGGCCGCGCTTGGATGGTGTGACATATTCGGTGCTGTGTACAGTATTGTATGTTGATGCGACGGAGAGGTTGTCCTTTTTTATGTCCCCTTCCTCAATGTTTCTAGCTAGCTGTAGGGCTCACGTCACCAGAGTGCTCTGTGCCCGAGGACAGGAAAGACCTTAATGCTTAGTTCGTGTATCCATACAGCAGGCCTCAGGTCTGGGTTCTCTGCACGTGCAGCCGTCCTGAGGTGGGCTGGACACTTCCCTCTAGCTGGTCACAGTGCAGGTTGACATGCGCAGCCCTGGCACAGCCCCTTCTGTGCCACAGGGGGGCGCTTTTCTGTGTGGGCTCAGCTGCTGTCACAGCGCACAGGACGAACGTGTGCCATTGTTGGAGAGGCTGTGAATGGTCATTTCCAGAGCTTGCTCATTACCTGTGTCTCACGCTGATTCCGTTTTTCCAGAAAGTTCCACGTTTTTGATTGAAAAGTAAAGAGGGATCAGTGAGTACCTTCCAAATAAGTCAGCGTAACCAGGGAGAGTGGAGTGACCACCAGAAAGGGCCATCCCTGGGAACTGGGGCATCGGAGATGACTCTGTCTTTGGCCCTTGTTTGTCTGATGGTTGTTTCTGGGGTTTGAATACTTAGTGTACCCAATTCTAAATGTAAAGATAAATTTAAATACTGATACCAAATTTTCCAAATCGTTGGCAAGTTGTTTATTTTATATTATTTTTTCCAGGACCTACTTGTTCAGATCTGCAAGCAAGCATTCCTTTTCTTTTAGTGATATCTGAAATGCACATCCTAGTTTTAAAAGGAACCCCAATAACTTTATTGTGTTCTTCCTCATGAAAAGTAAAGGTTTATGTAGAGAAATCTGAGTAATTTTTATATTCCTGGGACGTTCTGTCCCCCTCACACTGTGCAGACATCACGCCAGCTCACTCGGAGAAGTGTGATCCAGGGGAAACTTGACATTCCCACTAACGTGTGGAGCGGAGATTTGATCGACCTTTACTTGAATAATAATATCCATATTGTCTGAATTCTGTAAAAAATAAGTATTTCAGATAAACGTTGAGGTATGTTCAAGAACTACCGAGGGAATGCCAAAAACATCTAATTCTGGGTACGCCAGGTCTGTAAAGAGAATGCTTTTCTTTAGTCAATAACGTTTATGTTTAAAAAATTAAAAAGCAATTCTTTATCCAGAGTAAAGTTCATGCTATAAAACTTACGAGGTACGTCTGTGTTTTTCACTTGAATTAGCCCTGACAGTCTACGCTGGAATACGAAGCAGTGACGGGTCCCACTCACAGATGGGGAACAGGCTCAGATGAAGGCTTGCCCCCCACCCTCACCCCCACCCCCCGCCCAGTGTGCAGCCCTGTTCTAGGACACACCCCCACATACAAGGAACATGAGCGTTTATTCTGTAGGCACATGGGTTTACAAAACCCTCAGCACTGGTAAAGGCTTGAAGTGTGTATATATCCGTGTTAAATTGCTGAAGTGAGTTCTTAATTGCTGAATGATGAAGGTATTAGCAGTCTCATTTAGGGAGTCATCTCTCTACTTTGTTCTCTTCTTTCCTGGCAATTTTCATATAACTAATTCACAGACTCAAATGGGGACTAAAATTTCCCATTGAAAATGTTAAACAATTTAGATAACTGTGAAAATACTGTTTATTTTTATTCCTTGCCAGTCTGGGAATATGCCTTCTGTGTATATGTGTGTGTGGTTTTTTTTTTTTTTTTTTTAAAGTGCTGTAGTAATACTTTTGGGGAAAAAAGGAAACATTTAAAAAAAAAAAAAAAACATATCCCCAAACTTCCATCTGAGATGTCTTATGTTAAGAATTTCTTGAATGTTGTGTATATGTTTAAAAAAGCACTTTGCAAAATAGTTTGTACATTTATTTCCTAATTTATACGTGATTTTTTGGTGTTAATATATTTAATGATTAATAGCAGAATGTTTATTTAACACGTTATCTGTTTTTATGTAATATTGTGGGGACAGAGTGACGCCAGCAGTTCTTTTTCATTAATCGTATCTTCTCTTCTGTGACATGAATGTGGAAAAAGGAGGAAACGGATCATTGGTGCAGTGCGGTTGGTACATGTTTTTATGACTACTGCAGACGGCCAGTGACGACGCAAAGGCAGGCTTGGCAGTTAAAGCCCATTCTTCCTCCTGTCCCACATCCAGCAGGTTGTCAATTTGAAAACGGATGACTGCGATTTCCAGAAGTACTGACAGATCCGTATTGGTGCGCAACAGCTCATCACCATCGGGGTTTGTTGTTGAACCAATAGTATCTTTGGACTTAGCATATTACAAATCACAGTAGAACTCATGTTGCGAGCCATTACGAACAGTATTAAGGGGGACAAGGTCTTCCAGGACCTCAGAAAAGACTTCACGTGCTCTTTTAGTCGGGGACTTGGTAAGCCTCTGATTCTCTCAGAGTTTATACATGTATGGGTTGGAATATTGGGCATCCATTCAAGTTGTAAAAAGAGGAAGACTGTTTCCATTTTCATTTTAAATTTAGTCATTACTTCTATTTATTGAACAGGTTAAACTCGTTATTTGTGAGTACATTTTTTTAAAAACATCTTTTTTCAGTCAGAGTTTGGTGTATAAATTGTCTATGCTTTTGGTGTAATCTATTAATAAACTGGTTCTTCAAAAATCTTTCCATCCAGTGAGTTTTTATGAAGTTCACAGGATTTGCTGCACTTGCAAACACCGATTAGTAGGGCCCTGTGGATTGTGATGAGCTCTCAACTGAGAATCACCTTTCAGGGAGAACCCTGACCCCTGGGCAGGTCCAAATGCACCCACAGTCGATTCCTCAGCCACTGGGAAGCGGCGTGTGATTCAGGACTAACCTGGAAGTGTGTGGTGTATGGACTGGTGAGCAGAAGGATACTCCTGTTCCCAGCTGTTTTCTTTGCTCCTTAGGGCAGGGTGGGTGTCTTAACCAGGCACAGCTCTCTATACAAGTTTGCTGAAAGAAAGATGAAGGGTTCGGTGACAGCGGGGATTTGATGGGGTCCAAGGGAACTGCTGAGCAAGGCCAACCATGGGGAAATGGGGAGTTCAGTGTCCTGAAGGGAAGCCGCCTTTCTCCACAGCCTCCGACCTCCCTCGGCGAAGCGCCTCTCCGCCCCGGTCTGTCTGTCCAATGCGGCCTCAGGGGAGTCTGTCCAGGCGGCGCCCACCTCCCGCTTGCTGTCCGCCCGGCATCCGGGCGCCGCTCCGGACAGGCTGCCTTCGGGCTTGTTTGGACTCCCGAGTGTTTACGCGGAACCTCCAGGCCTTTCTACCCTGTGGCCGCAGGCGGAGCTGCCTGGCATCCCGGCTCCGAGAGGCCTAGACCGGCGGCGGGTCAGAACATATACCTCGTCTCTGCCCCGAGGTCTTCTCCCGGGTCCGACCGCTTCTGCACATGCGCACTGGGGAGGCCCTGCGCAGGCGCGTCCGGAGCCCTGGGCGGGGCCAGTGGAGGGGCGGGGCCGGCGGGTCACAACGCGCGCCCAGCGGCCCCGGAACTGACCCTCTACCTTCACGGGCGAGTGACCCGGAAGCGATGCTCCCTTTCGAGCCGGTGAGTGCGGGCGCGCGGGCTGTGGACCTCCGCAGCCCGGAGCGGGGTGGTAGGCTGCCGACCGGGGTCCGCGGCGGTGGCCGGGGCCGCCCGCTGGAACGTGGGCGCGCGGACCGCCTTCCGGGATTCGAGACACCAGCAGTGTCCCGGTGACACTCGAAACGTCTCGATCATTCTTCGTTTAGCGGCGAGGGACGGAGCCGACGAGTGCCGGGCTGTCCTTGCGACGCAACCTGAGCAAAGGGGAATCCCGCCTCGTGGCTGCTGTGCCGGCTGAATAGCGTTTGTTCCGCCGCCGGTGTGCGGTGTGCGGGAAGCCCCCGCCCCTGCAGTTTCTGAAGGAGCTGCGGCCGGGGCGCGTTTGCTGCAGTGTTGGTACAGCGCTGAAGCAGGACTGAGACATTGTTACTAACTAACGGCAACAGTTTTTCATGAGGGCTCACTCTTGGTGTTGTGCAGCCTACTATCTAGTTTAGTTACAAAGCATGCTAACGAGTAACCATTGCACAACTCTTTGGATGTATCCAGGAGTCCGCATAATCGATACTCGTTCTCATGCGCACGGCAATAAGCTCCCAGTTATAGGAAAAATCACACTGTCCCCGTTTCGCTTCGAACTTTTACTTCTTTTCCACTTTTCTCGCAGAAGATATTTTTATGATTTAAAGTCTTTTATTAATCACCCTAATATAACTGCCACAGAGATACGTGTATGAATTCAAATTTGAATTTTTTATAAGTTTCCTTTCACCTAAGGTATCTGAACCTAACCAAATCTGTTGTGCAGAGTCTTAGTATTAATTTTTTTTATAAATGTTTGTTTACAATAATTAATAGTATATAGTTGCACAAAAATAACAAACATATGCACGTTTTGGTACCAGAAAATCAAACCAAACCCGTGTTTATCCAGTTGATTCTGACTCATAGTGACCCCGGATGACAGAGTAGAACTGCTCGGTAGGCTTTCCAAGGAGCGCTGGTGGATTCGAGCTGCCGACCTTTTGGTTAGCAGCCGAATGCTTAACCACTGTGCCACCAGGGCTCCATGTTTTGATAAACATTTATTAAGCAAAAATAAAGTTTTATTTATTTATTGCTTTCCAAGGAGTTCATCTATCCATGGTGGAATTCTCAAGGAGGGGCAGAAAGTAGGTCTGGAAGAGCAGGTGGAAGGAAGACACCCAGCAGACACATTCCAAAAAATAAGCAGACCAACTGTCATCAAGTTGATTCTGATTCATATTACCCCATCATTAAAAAAAAAAAAAGCCTGTTACTGTACAGTGGATTCTGACTCCTAGTGCCCCTATAGAACAGAGTAGAACTGCCCCATAGGGTTTCTTAGGCTGTAATCTTTACAGATTGAACTGTTGACCTTTGGGTTAGCAGCGGAACACTTAACTGCTTAGCCACCAGGGCTCCTTCTCCTCTCATGGGGGTTGTAAGGAATAAATGTAAAAATCAATGTAGATTTAGAAGAGGTTCCTGGCAAGTAATAACTTCTCTGGACCGGTGGACATTGAGCTTAACTGTTTCATAGAAACAGCAACAGTATTGTCTAATGTGGAGCCCTTACCACTTTACTGAGCGCCTTTCCAGGTGTTTTGTTTTTTAATACACTGATTTACGGAAAAATTGCTCAGAAAGTACCAAGAGTTCCCATAAACCCCTTCTGCCTCCCCGCCCCCCGCTCATAGTTTCTCCTGTTACTAACATCTTGCATTGGTGTGGTACATTTGTTACAACTGATGCACCAATATTGGTGCATTATTCTCATTCACTAAAATCCGTAGTTTACATGAGGGTTCATGCCGTGTTGTACAGGCCTGGGGTTTAGATGAATGCCTGAGGTCATGTGTGTGCTGCTACAGTTGGTCCAGGCATTTTCAGCAGCCTTCTCCCTGCAACAATGTCTATTCTTAAACAACCTCTATTACCACCCTCACTTCTGCCCCATGTCTCATAGCTCCATGACCTTGGGTAAGTCACTTCACCTCTCTTCGCCTCAGTTTCCTCACCTGTAAAATGAGGATGCTATGAATACCCTTTTTATATATGCTAATTTTTAGGGCAGTTTTAGGCTGAGAGAACATTGTACAGTTGGTGCCAAGAGCTCCCTTATGCCCTCCCCGCCACACTTTCTCCTGTGATTAATGTTCCTGTGGTGCGTTTGTTAGCATGGATGGACTAACACTGATACATTGTTACTGACTAAAATTCTTGGTCTAGTTAGGGTTCCACTCTTTATGGTGTACACTCGTACGGGTTTTGACAAATGGATCACGTCATGCACCCCCCATTACAGTATCATGCAGAAGAGTTTCACGGCCCTAAAAATCCCCCGTGCTGCACCTACACATCCATCCCTCCGCCCCTGAACAGGAGTAAACACTGATCTTTTCAGTGTCTCTGGGGCTTTGCCTTTTCCAGAATGTCACGTAGTTGGAATCATACAGTATGTAGCTTTTTCAGACCAGCTGCCTTCACTCAGCAATATGGTGTTGTTGAGTCAGTTCCAACTCATGGCAACCCCACGTGTGCAGAGTAGAACTGTGCTCCATAGGATTTTCCAGACTGACTGTTTCGGAAGCAGATCACCAGGCCTGTCTTCTGAGGTGCCTCTGGGTAGGCTCTGATCACCAGCCCTCGGCTGGTAGTCGAGCGCTTAGCCGTTTGTACCACCCAGGCACGTTCACTTAGCGGTGTGCATTTACACTTCCTCCATGGGTTTTGTGGCTTGATAGCCCATTTCTTTTTATTTCTGAATAATACTTCATTCTAAGATGTACCACAGTTTGTTTATTCATTCACCTTTTGAAGAACATCTTTGTTGCTTCCAGGTTTTGGCAGTTATAAATGAAGCTGCTGTACCGCCTGTGTGCCAGAGTGCAGTGGGTACTCAGTGCTCAGGGAGGGGAGGAGGCCCCACATGGCCTAGAGTCCCCAGGGGCAGCCTAGTGGGCGAGGAATGGTGCAAACAGCCTGACACGTGGAGAGTCGTTCACAGAGCACGCGTGTGTGCCAGGCCCTGTGGTCAATGCCTCTCAGGAATTAGCTCACCCTGTTCATTTTACAGATGAGAAGACATGGGCGGGGAGGCTGAGTGGGAGGGGGTCAGG